AATTGTACACTCTTCTGTAGTAGTTCATTGAACCACAATACTGATAAGTGATTAATAAAAGTCAAAAGACCAAAGAGATCACCTTAATAAAAAAATATATATATATATATAAAGTTATATATAGATTTTTAATACACCTGGCATAACTATAATTTTAAAATATTATCTATTGTATTAGGTTTTAGATATATAAATATTGATCTAAGTTCAGTATCTTCAATAATTTAAAATAGTCAATTTTTTTTTATAATCTAATATTTAACTATATTAATAAATTTGTCTCTATTAAATAGTTTACATAAATGATTATTAATCTAAATATAAGTATTTATTTAAATTAGTTTTTTTTATTTATTTTTTATTTATTTATTTATATTTATATAAAAACTTATATCTGACTTATTATTTAATATATCTACAACTAAGATGCCTTTTTTTATATTTAATTTCTTTAATTTAAATATTTTAATCTTATAAGAATTAAGGTGTCTTTTAAGATTTGATGTTATTCCATGCTAATATGCCAATTTCTAATTACAAATCTCACAAATTGCATGCTTTTTTTCTTTTTTTAAAAGTATTTTCATACAAAAGATCTATAAAACATACTATTAATACAATATATTAAAAAATATATTAAAGAATTATAATATTTTAATTACCTAGTATATGTAGAATTACTGCTATTTGACTTTTGTACTTGTGATGATTCACTAACTTCAGATTTATCTAATTGTAACTCTGGTTTATACTCTTTCTTATATATTGATTCATAATCTTTTTCATACATTGGTTCATGCTCTTTTTTATATATTGGTTTATACTCTTCTTTATGTATAGATTCATAATCTTTCTTATAAAAAGATATAGATGGAGTTGGCATTACAAAGAAATAAATATTTTTATTTCAAAAAAAAAAAATCATAAGACAAAAAAAAAAAAAAAAAAAGAATCATATAAGACTTATTTAAAAAGATTATATAAAACTTATTTAAAAGAATCATATAAGTCTTATTTAATAAAATTTATTTAAAAAATAATGTGAATCTTGTTCTAGTATTGGAGCAAGTATTAATTTTTTTTTATCATTTTGATCAGCATACTTATAAATATTATTACTAACCAATAAGCATACAATATAGTATTGGATATTTAATTCAAACCTCTATATAAATCTAAATTTAACAGATCTTATAAATTATAAATCTAAATCCAATCAAATAGATCAGATCTGATTTGGATCTTTGGATCAGATCTGTAAAACACTAATTCAGCTCAAATATGAAAATTTGAAGCCTAAATTCTGAGTGAATCTTAATTTATTTAGAATTCAAATAACAAATTTTAAAAGCAAAATTTATACTAAATATATATTACTATATATATAATTAAAGCTGGTTTATTAAAAGCATTTGAAACTTGCTACTAATTATATATTTTTATTAGCAAAATAAAATGAAAAAAATAAATACAAAATTTATAAAAAAGATTTTTCTAAAAAAGATTAAACCTTTCACTTTCTTTGCCATTCTTTTATAAAATCAGAAGCCAGTCTTTTACTGATTCTTTTTTTATGCATCTATGTATCTTTACTATTATTCTATCATTACTTTCATAGTCTCTTTTTTTATTGCTACTTTCTTTTTTTTCTTTTTCTTTTTCTTTTTCTCTTCTTTCTTCTCACTCTTATTCTTGTCCTCAGTACTATAATTAATTTCATCATTTTCATTTTCATTTACTGCCCAATCAGAAACATTATCAGGCTAAAGTGCTATCAGTGTATATGATGATTAATAGGAATGTCTGAATTAGAGTTTGTGTTTGTATCAAGAACATTATATAATAGATTAATTAACTATTAAAATAAAAAAATTAAAATTTTATGTAATTAATAAATTAAGATTTAAAATATTGAATTTTGTTACATGTTCAATTGATTTTGAATATGTCAAATAATATGCTATGTATATCATTTGATATACCAAATATTAATCATTAAATTTTTACTAGTATAATACTAACAAAAAAAATGACCTTTTTTGACCTTCAAGACAAGCCATAAACATTAACATACATATGATCTTTCTCATTCTTTCTTGACTGGCATTTGTTAATTCAAGTGAATGGATATCATTATTTGTTAATAATTGTATTACTTTCTTTATGTTATTATCAGAAAATTGGCTTGTTCTTCTTTCTATGAAGGTACTTGAATGCTACAGCTCATCAAGATATTTTTTGTAAAATTAAATCAAAAAATTTAATTAAATTTTGAAAACTAAAATTTAGTAAATTATGACTTAAAATTAACCTAAATTTAACTAAAAATTTAGATTGATTTTAAGTCATAATATATATAAAAAAAAAATTTATACATCAGTTTTTTAGTAATTTTTATGCATGCATTCATTAAAGTGCATGCTTCAGGATTTATCTCAATATATAGACTTAGTGTTAAGTTTTAATTTAAGATGCTGCTTCAACATGTTAGTTAACTCAGTCTAATTAGTGCCAAATCATTCAGCAAAAAGATTATATAGTATAAAGGTTATAGTTTTAAACAAGCAGTTACTTTGTTCTTACTATGTCTCATTAATATTAAGGTCAAATTTTCTATCTTTTTTTTGAAAATCTTAAAAAGTTCATGCTATTAATAATAAAATTAGGTTTAATTAAAAAAAAACAAAAATAAAATAAAATAAATATATGTTGAATATTAATAAAATTAGGTTTAATTTAAAAAAATAAGTAAAAATATATTAAATATAATTTAAATATATACTTAAAGTGACTTTCTTTTAGCCTTATTATTTTCAAAACCAAGCTGTCTTGCTGTTTTCTTTACATCTCTCATAGAAACAGGCCTTTTTTGTATGACTAATAAAGTTTCAGCTTTATTTTTTTCCCTTACTCAGCCTGTTTCTATGCCATTGATGCATAATGGCTTAAAACTTGCAATGTACTAATATTATTAGCTAATGTAAAATAAGAGTTTTGCAATACTTCAATTGTATTCTCTAAATGCATTATTTTATGATTATGGTTTCTCTGAATCTTACATAAATTATTAATTTCAGTCTACAGTAAATGATTTTCTAAAAAAAAGAAATAGTTGCAAATCAAAAAAAAAGAAATAAAAAAAATAAATATTAGTTATAAATTAGTATAAATTCAGCTATTATTTAAATAAAAAATAATAAAATAAATATTAGTTATAAATTACTATGAATTTAGCCATTATTTAAATAAAAAAAGTAAGAAAAAGAAAAAATAAAATATAATAAATATTAGTTATAAATTGACATATATTTGGTAGTCATTTATAAAAGGAAGAAAAATAATAATTATAAATATTAATATATATTTAGTTAAGTAAAAAAGAAAAAAAAAATTAGTAAATAAAATATTAGTTATAAATCAATATAAATTTGTCACTATTTAAACAAAAAAGTAAGAAAAAAATTAGTAAATAAAATATTAGTTCTAAATCAACATAAATTCATCAACATTTAAGTAAAAAAAAAAAAATTAGTAAATAAGTTACAAATCAGCATGTTTACTTTTTTTATAATAAATAAAAATTTATTATTCTTAAGCCTTCTATTTTTATTCAATAATTTATAATTTGATAAAAATTCCACTCATTCACCACTTTTACTTCTGCTTCTACTACTTTTAGATTTCAGTAATAAATGAGATAAATAAACAGTAAGAATAATAAAAGAAGTTATAGTTTTTTAAGAAAAAACAGTAGCAACCAGCTGGGTCAAAATAGTGAATAGCTGGATTGAAATGATGGATGATATGATCAAAATAGTAGATAGTTAAATTAAAGAGATGGTTAATGGTTGGGTCAAAGTAGTTGATAGTTTGGTTGAAGTAGTAGATAGTCTGATCAAAGAAGTAGTAAATAGTGAGTTAAAGTAATTGATGGTCTGGTCAAAGTAGTGGTGAATTGTTGGGTTGAAGTGGTTAATAGTCTGGTTGAAGTGGTTGATAGTCTGGTCAAAGTAGTGGTAAATGGTTGGGTTGAATGAGTGGTAGATGGTTGGGTTAAAGAAGTAGCAGATAGTTGGATTAAAGAAGTAGTAAATTGTTAAATTAAAGAAGTAGTGAATAGTTAGGTCACAAATCAAGAAGGTTGTGATGTTTGTTAGATACATCTTGTTTTAGCTATAATAAAAAAAAAGATAAAATTTTCAAATAAAAATCTAAGAAAAATTTGGAGAAATAAAGTTCTTCAAAAAAATAACAGTTTAAATTAGATATATACTTGCTACACAAATTCTAAACTATTATAGTTTGGGTTTGTTCACACCCAAATCTCAAACTCAAATCCAAATTAATATCTCAAAAACTATATTAATAATCTTTATTTAAACAAATAATTTATATTCTTATAACTATATATAATATATTTACAAAATATCAAAATTATTTTGTTGATTTAATTTTTTATAAAAGCAATTTGTTTTTTTGAGGTTTGGGATTTGTTCGGATTTTGTCAGCAAGTATAATTGGGTATATTTATAAAAATTTTTAAATTCTGATTGCTTAAATAACTAATTAAAAAAATAGCATACATTGTTTTTAAATTTATGTTCTGGAATTAAAATATGATAAGTATTATATCATAATCAGTATACCTGTTATATGTCAATTTACAATTTACAATTTATACAATTTATATGTTATTTAAAAATTATACTGATTAAAATGACATGTTAAATTTAATTATACTAATATTTATATTTTTTTAAAAAAAAATTTTTATTAGTATCAATTTATATTATTTCGAATTAACATGATTTTAAAAACTATATATAATATTAGAATTGATCATAATAACTATTTATATAAAAAATGACTTATCATATCTAAATTATAATATGAAATCAAAATAATATATAACACTATTACTAGTGATTAGTAATTTTTTGCTGAATAATGATTTACTTTATATTATATTTGATATTTATTTATTTAATCTAACTTTTATTATAGTATTTAAAATATTATTTAAAAACCAATATAAATTAATAAATTGTTTTATATCTTTCAACTAATATCTAACTATCTTTATGCCAATCATTCATCTATAATTCATCTAACTATTATTTTGATATTTAAAATATTATTCAGAAAGAACAAAGAGTTAATAGTTTTATGCTTTTTAATTAAAATTCGTCATCATGCCAATTATTTACCTAAATATAAATTATGTGAATAATAGATATCTAACATCATTTTTATTCAAATAATGCTATTCAATTTGTTGAATTTTTAGTACTCAAGTCATTATATATTGAATTTTTTAATTTCAGTTATATAATAATTGTCAAATTGTAGCATTTAATAAGTCAAATTTTTTAATTTTAAGTTATTATTATTATTATTATTATCAAATTATGGCTAAATGTTTTAATTAAGCTATGTAATAGCTGTCGAGTTATGCATTAAAATATATTAAATTTTTTAACAATCTGTATTAATTATCAAATTGTGGCATTAATAATAGTTATCAAAATTCAACTGTCAAATTTTAACAAAATTAGTTCAAAATTTGATATAAATTTAATTGTTAAATTTTAATAAAATAAAATTAGTTAATAAAATTTAACTTATATTAATTTGATCTATAAAATTAGATTGATCTAATTATCAAAATTTTGTCCATATCGGTGAATTAAGAACTGGTTCTATAATATATAATCATGTAATGATCATAAAGAACCTTCATAATTAAATTAGTAGTTTGAATTCATTACAGTATATCTAAAGAAAAGAGAATAATAGATATTAGAGTATTAGTAAAATAAGATAACTACTAATTGAAGAAATAATTATTTTAAATTACTTATAATGCATAATTATGTAACAATCATAAAGGTTCTTCACGATTGGATTATTAGATTTGAATTTGCCATAGTATATCTAAAGAAAAGAGTCAATTATTAATTAGAAATTGGCCTATTAATATTAATACAAGCTGAATAATATTTAATACAGATCAAATGATATTTAATGCAAACCAGATTATATGCTAATGCAGGCCAAATAATCTTATTAAAAATTCTGTGCATGACCAACTAAAATAAAATCGCCATTCAAAAAAGTTTCAAAAATCATATAATATTGTCAATTTCAAACCAACTTACTAAATTCTGAAAAATTTAGCAAATATTTGGCTAGTTAATTTTTGCTAAATTTTCAGAATTTATGAAAACAGCTATAACATCCTTAGATTTTGTCTGGCCTATCAATATATAATCTAAAAATTTGATATTTTAAAATTGACATAACTAATTTATATAAGCAATTAATTACTACATATATTATCATTATGCAGTTATATTTTTAATAATATAGTCAATTTGTAATATATTGAATTCTGAAATTTTGTTATTACTAAAAGTATATAACATATAAAAAAAATTATTCAGAATAATCTTTGAATTTTAATAGTTACTAATAGCTTATTTATAATTTCATTTTTAAATTATTATAACATTATAGTTTTCAATAGTAACAGTAATAACAATAGCCAAAATTTAATTTTATAGTAAGAATTATAATTACATTATACTTTTTTATAGTAACAAAAATAATGCTAGTTGAAATTAAACTTATAATAAGATTTATATTTATAAGTTTATATTATTTGATTACTAATTCTTAAATTTAATGAATTTATAAAGCACAAATCAGGCTACTGGAAGTCTTGAACCAAAGAAAAAGGACCTTGAGAGCAGACCCTGAGGTATCAGGAATAGGTCATAGTTCTACTAGGCTATCTGAATTGGAAGTCTGAGGTTAGAAATAAGGGTATACTATAAGTATTAGGAATATGTTATGAAGTTGGTACTAGAGTCTGGGTGAACTTTGCAAGAATGAGCCCTGTTAACAAGAAACTAAATATAGATAGTTAGTTAGCAGAAGGGCCCTCTAAAGCCCTATAGTTAGGTAATATATTTTAAAATGCATAACAGCTTGATGGATATACAGACAAGAAGGTTACAGTTAGGTTAGATGGCACTTAGGTGTACAGGAACTTGTGCATTATTTGTCAATATAAGTATAGAGATCAGAATGTTTAAATAGGTAATCTCCTAATAGATTACAGATATGGCAGCTAGTGTAAAACCTGTTATGCAAGTGAACTACTTAAAATAGACAACTAAAAGTTGTACATATAGCTAGTTGTATACTCACCTTGTATGAATTATGTAATTATAATTAAAATACAATTAAGACAATAGTTGCCAATAACTATGACCTTAGTGTAAACAAAAAAAAAAAGTATTTATAAAGCAATTGAGTAAATGTACAGTAAAACTATTTTTCTTACTAATTATAAACAAACTAAAAAAATTTGCTTGTAAATTGTATTTTAATGATAATAATTTAATTCTTATGAAATATAGAGACCCTAATATTTGCAAAATATATAACTATGAAATTTCTTCTAATCTTTTGCAATCAGTAATTTTACTTGACTGCAGGAACTTCTTTTACTAAAAGTGTATTATGAAATATAATTGTTGTTCTTGCAAATATAAAGATTATAAAACACCAAATCGATATATTGAAATATCAACTCTACATTATTTTAAAAAAATATTAAACATATTATTTTTTCAAGCACAAGCTGATAAACTATAAGCACAAACTGATAAATAACAAGCACAAGCTAATAAACTACAAGCACAAGCTAATAAATAACAAGCACAAGCCAATGAACAGATGCAATTAAATAAACTACAAGCACAAGATAATAATGACTAAATGCAAATTAATGAACAAGAGCAAATTAATAAACAAGTACAAGTTAATGAACTACAAGTGCAAGTGTGTAGCCAAGCATAGGGCAGACAAGCACAAAGTAGGTAAGCACAAAGCAGGCAAGCACAAAGTGGGCAAGCACAAGTTAGGCAAGCACAAAATGAGTAAGCACAAAATAAGTAAGCACAAGATTGGCAAGTGCAAGGTAAACAAGTACAAGATAGACAAGCACAAGGTTGGCAAGCACAAGGTGGGCAAGCACAAGACAGACAAGTGCATACTGGGCAAGCACAAAGTAGGCAAGCACAAGGTGAGCAAGTGAATAGTAGGCAAGCACAAGGTAGGCAAGCATATAGTAGGCAAGCACAAGTCAATAGAAAACTAATAAACAGGTTAGCATTATTAAAATTTATTATACAGTGTTATATAATATTTATATTATAAAATGTATATTG